GAGGAAGGGGAGGAATAGGTGGGAGAAGAGGGATGGGGAGGAGGGGAGTAAGGGCAGGAGAGAGGGAGAGGAGGGAGGGAAGGATGGAATGGGAGAAATGAAGAGCGGGAAAGAGAAGAAAGAAGATAGGAGAGAAGGGTTAGAAGGATGAGAAAAAAAAGGAAGAATAATGAGAGAGAGCAAAAGAGAAAGAGGGAAAAGAGAGAAAGAGAGAGAGTGTTGACAGATGGAGGGTGATGTTTGACGTGTCGCGAATGACGTGGGCGAGGACCGTAGTAGGCCTAGGCAGAAGGGGCCTTGTAAAGGGTAGGAAGAGTCCAAGGAATTAAGAAAGAAAGAACATAAAACCAAAATATAATATATAGGCCTATTCAAATAAATGAAAAAAAGGTAAATAGGAAAGAACCCTCACATACAAACGAAAAATCAAATAAAGATAATAATAATTGGAGAGAAATAGGCCTATGAAGAACAGCAACGAAGCAAAGGCCACCTAGAAACAACAGAAAGCACGGGAGAGGCGCCGTCGAGAAGTAGGCCTATAGAGCAGTGTTTAGGGAGGCCGCCCTTGCCCATAGGAGCTATAGCGTGCCAAACTCGGCCAGCTAAGTAACAGGGCACAGTCAGGCGAGAGAGAGAGAGGGAGAGAAAATGTGCAGGCTGGTATTGGGGTGCTCGCGGGAAGCATCCCTCTCTTTCTGTGTCTCTCTCTCCTTTAGCTCGTGTGTCTTTCTCTCGCGTATCTTTACAATTTGATAATCCGTGTGCGCTCGTGCCTCACTTTCGTTCTCATTTCGCTTCTCGCTCTGTGCGGTCTGTGCGTGTCATCTTCGTACTATCCCAGAGCACCGAGGCAGGCGTTCTTCTGTTGTCGTTCTCAGGTTGTCTGTGCTTTCTTTTCTTCTCTCTCTCTTATTTTCTTTCTTTCTTTCCTCTCTTCTCTCCTCTCGTTCCGTCTCTCTCTCCATCTCTCTCCTCTCTCCTCTCTCGCTCTCTCTCGGGCTGTCGTCTCGCATCTCTCGCTTGTCCGTGCGGGGGGTCTCTGTCGGTGATCGGCTAGATCAGAAGCAGAGAGACTGTCAACTAACTTGAGCTTGAAAACACGGCAGCACAAAAGAAAGAGGAAATGTAAAAAAATAAAAGAATACAAGAAAGAAAGAAAAATGAAAAAGAACGGAAAGCAGAGGAAAGAGGGAAAATCCGGACTTGCATACAAGAAAAAACGAGGGAAAAAATGAAGGAAAAGGGTATGGAAAATGAATAAACAAAACATAACCGAGAAGAGTTGCATGATTTTAAATGTCTCTTATGATTAAATCGTTCTTCATTAGTATTTTTAGTTATTTTATGATTATTGATCGGCCAATACGCGTCGCAGACACTATCGCAAGGTTGCGGGTGGTATGTCAACGGGGATCTAAAGTTTGGAAATGATGTATAAATTAGATTCACGAACAGAAAAGTGGGAAATCAGCTCGATAAGGTGATTCAATGTTTATACTATATATATATATAGTATATTAAGTATATATAGATATAACCATATATATATATAATTATTGACGCTATATATAATATATATCTAATATACATATGTGGTGGTATTTGTCGTGTGTAGTGTGTGTGTGTGGTGTGTGTGTGCTGTGTGTGTGGTTGGGTGTTGTGTGTGTGTGATGTGTGTGTGGGTAGTATAGATATCTTCCTTCGTCACCCATCCCTCCCCCGTTGATATCCGTTACTCTTATTCTTCGAGTCTCGTTTGTAAAAGAGAGAAGAGAAAGAGAATGGAAAATAACAAAAAAGCAGAAGCAGGAAAGAGCATGGAAAGCGTGGGGAAGGAAAGAGAAGAGATCGGTGAAAAGCGTAAGTATGGGAGAGATGGAGGAGGATGTACGAAGAAGAAAAGAAAATGAAAAAAAACGCGAAGAGCAGAAGGGAGAGAAGGATAGAAAGAATAAAAGAGCCAAGGAGCGTAATAGGGAAGAGGAGAAGGAGAGAAGAAAGAGAAAGAAAGAAAGCGTAAAGAGAGAGGAAGAAGGAGAGCAATCACGCGAGAGAAGAACTGACGAGCGTTGGCAGACGAGCGGCTCATCGGAGCCCAGTGCGGTAGCCCCGAACAGGCTTTAATGTTCAGGTAACTATCATTGCAGCATTGCATGGGCTCGTGTGGAGGGGTGGGGGAGGGGTTTAGGGGGAAAAGGGGAAGAGGGGGAGTCCTGTGATGGATTGGTTTTTAGATGATTAACTGACGCAACTGTCCCTCAAAAGTCGAAATCGCTGTCATTCCGTAGGTCTAGCTGGTAGAGGCCGAGTGGAAATTTACTCGAGTAGGCCTAGTCCGGTGGTCTTGTATAAGGCTACATGTGTCGCCAGGCAAGACGTGCCTGTATTTCTTTCTCTCGATTCCTTCAAAGGATACGATCAAGAGGTGAGAGAAAGAGAAAAAAAAAAAGAAAGGGAAGACAATAAAAAAAAAAGGTTAAAAAAAGGGAAGAAGCATTAAGAAAAACAAGTTAAAAGTAAAAAAAGAAACGGAAAAACAAAGACATAACTATTCAAGGTTGAATTTCGAATCTCAAGCGGTAAGGATGAGGTCGAATGTCCTCCGGCTCTGCATTAAGAGGCATGTGTGGGCTCGTCCTGATGTGTGGGTGGATAGCGACGTGTGTATCTGTGTGGTTTATTTTTGGAAGGGAGAGATGAGAGAGAGGATAGGGAGGGAGGAGAGAGAGAGAGGAAGAGAAGAGGAGGGGGTTAGTTTAATAGGATAATTGGGAGCCAGTGAGATGTTATGGCGAGAACGGAGTAAAGATTGGAAAGAGGCACGACGAGGGAGGAGGGGGGAGAGGAGACGCAGTTCTCGACAGAGCCACCCACATTAGAGGAAGGGAGAAGAAAAGAGAAGGAGAGCGGAGAATGAGGGAGGGGAAGGGTGTGTAGCACGCGCGGGAGGGGATAACGCACACGAGGGGGGAGGGAGATAGGAGGATAAAACGCCAGGGGAAAAACGAATGGATCCAAAGGAATGATTTTGATACTTTAAATTTCTTTATTATTATCCGCCCTACTATCACGCCCTCCCCCCTCTCTCTCTCTCTGTTACCTATCTATCTATGGATCACTCTCATCTCTTATTCTATCCTGTCTCATACTATCTATTGTCTCATCCTCTCTCTCTCTCTCTCTCATCCTCTCTCGTCTCTCTCTCTTTCCTCTCTCCTCTTCTCTCTCTCTCCTCTCCTCCCCCTCCCTCCATCCCTCCCTCCCTCCCAGGCTAGTAATGGTACTGTTAAAGCTGATGTGTTTTAGCAGCTTGTGGGCTACCGGATTCCTTATGCTCCTGTGACATAGAGGCGATAGTAGTCCAGTACGTACTCTGAGCATTGTTCCTATAGATTTGGGAATTGGCTGTGTTCCTCTGGCCTATACTGAAAGGGTTGATTCTAATAAAACTGTATAGGAAACGAAGGTACTGTATTGTGTATATTGAAAACGTGTTTTAGGAGTGTGGTGAGGGGCTGTTATGGCTGAAATCTATTTCGAAGGTTGGTTCTATAGAGTAAAATACATTACGGGGGATGAGGGGAGGGGGGTGTTGTATCAAGGGCATGAAACGGGGTTATTAGATAGGACGTTATAAGAGGATGTTGAAGTGTCCTGTGATCGCCATGCGTTATGCCTTAAAATTCTATGAATTCGTCCTAATTCGTGAACCGTGTGAGTGTGTGCGTGTGTCTGAGTTGTGTGAGAGAGAGAGAGTGTGTGAGTGTATGTTTGAGTGAGTTGTGTTGTGTGGTCTGTGTCCTGTGTCTAATGTGTTTTTCCCTCCTATTCTTCTTCCTAAACCACATCCTCACCATAACATTACCCCCTTTTTCACCAGATTTATAATACCGACCCTCTCTCTCTCTCTCTCCCTCAGGTAAACGGCCAAAGAGTGCCAATGGAGGTGGCACTGCTCCTCCGCGTGGCCCACATTCCCCAGGTGGTTCGGCTCCTGGACTGGCTCGAGAGGGACGACTCCTTCCTGCTGATCCTCGAGCGTCCTGATCCTTGCAAGGACCTCTATGACTACGTGACGGAGAGAGGACCCTTGCCGGAGGGTGAGGCTAGGGATCTCATGCTACAGGTGGGTCGTGGAGCCTTCTCTATGTTGGTGTTGTTGGTTTGAGTCTTCTTTCTTCTTCTTCTTGTTTTTTGTTTTGTGTTTTCTTTTTCCCTTTTTTTTCTTCTTCTTCTTCTTCCAGTTTTTCTTTTCTCTTCTTCTTCTTTTTCTTCATCTGTCATCTGTGTTTCAGTTCTCTTTCTTTCGTGTTTTTTTATTTTTTATTCTTGCTTTGTTTTGCTTCTTGTTTCTGTCTTCTCTCTCTCTCTCTCTCTCTCTCTCTCCTCTCTCTCCTCTCTCTGCTCTCTCTCTCTCCTCTCTTTCTCTTTTCTCTTTTCTTCTTTCTCTTTTCTCTTCTCTTTCTCTTCTCTCAATATCTTTCTTCCTCTGCATCTTTCTCTCTTTCTCTCTCATCTTCCTTCTTCCTCTCTTCTATCTCCTCTTATTCTCTCCTTTTTCTCTCTCTCTCTCTTTCTCTCTTCCCTCCTTTCTCTCTCCTCTCAGTCTCGTCCATCTTCTGCTCCTCATCCTCTCTCTTCCTTCCCCTTGCACATCCGAATATAAAAAAACTAAAACTAAAAGTATATTTAGATTGAAAAGAAGAAAGATCTGAAACATAACCCCCTCCCCCTCACCTGTATCAACCCCCTCCCTCCCCCCTTTATATCACCACCATACTAACCCCCCATCTCTCTCTCCTCCCCCCCCCTCTCCCCCCAGGTCGTGAGCATGGTCCTGGCGTGTCACATGGCGGGCGTGATCCACCGCGACATCAAGGACGAGAACCTCTTGGTCACCACGGACCGCCACGGACGCGTCGCCCTCAAGCTCATCGACTTCGGGTCTGGGGCTTTCTTCGTCAGGGACAAGGTCTACACGGACTTCGAGGGTGAGTCACGACTTGTTTTTGTTGTTGTTGTTTACTTTTGTTGTTGTTTTGGGTTTGGTTTATATACTTGTTTTTGTTTTTGGTTGTGTGTTTTGTTTTGTGTTTGTTTACTTGTTACGTTTGTTTTTTGTTATGTGTTTTGTTTTGGTTGTTGACTTGTTTTTGTTGTTTATTTACTTGTTTATTTGTTTTTATGTTGATTACTTGTTTTGTTTATTTGCTTGTTTTTTTTTAGTTGTTTTTGTTTAGATTGTTTATTTGTGTGTTTTTTTAAGTCGTTTGTTTTGGTTGTTTGTCCAGTATGTTTTTTTGTTTTATTTTTGTCAGGGTTAGGTAGGCTTATTTGTTTGTTTGGGTTCTTTTTTTTTTTTACGTTTGTTTGTTTATCCGTTTCTCATATTTAGTGCTATTACTGTTGACATTATTATCATCTTTATCAACAATTACTAGTAACATTATTTTTATTAGTTATTAGTATCATTATCACAGTTATTACTATAATGATTATTACTATATTATTCATTTCTCTTTTGCCTTTTCATTCAACAAGAAATCAAACAATTGAAAGCGAGATTATTAAAGAGAGAAAAAAATGGTTCGTGATTGTTATTAGTTTGATGTTAAACCGACCTAGATTTTTGGGAAAAGAAAACGGATAAATCGTGACTTAACTTTTAGGCACGTTTTCTTTCTCGTCTGTGCGGTCAATTTTTTTTTTTTTTTTTTTTTTTTTTAAGGGGGGGGTAGGGGGGTAGGGGGGCTGATGTGTTGATTTTTGGTCTTTTTTTGTGAGGTTATTTTTTGGTCTTTTTTTTGGTTTGTATTTGTTTATATTTTATTTTATTTTATTTTTTTTCTGTATGTTGTCATCCATTTATTTAGAAAAATCATCTGCCCATTTTTCACATACATTCACTCGCACATTCACTCACGCATTCGCTTACTCTTATGTTCACTCAATCACTCATTCACTTACTCACTCACACTCTAATGTTCACTCACTCATCCACTCAGTCACACTCTCTCACTCACTCACCCACCCACATTCAGTCACTCACTCACACAAATTCACTCACTCACGCATTCACTCAGTCACTCATTCACACACTCACATTCACCCACTCACTCACACAAATTCACTCACTCACTCACTCACTCACACATATTCACTGACTCTCATGTTCACTCACTCTTCCACTCAATCACTCAGTCACTCACACAAATTCACTCACTCACTCACTCACTCACACATATTCACTGACTCATGTTCATTCACTCATCCACTCAGTCACTCGCTTACACAAATTCACTCACTCACACATATTAACTCACTCACTCACTCACGCATCCACTCAGTCACTCACTCACACAAATTCACTCACTCACTCACTCACGCATGCACTCGCCTCATATTCCCCCGTGCAGTTCTCGCATACTTTCCCTGCAATATAATTACCCCCAGTATTCTGCCCCGACCGTAAGTTATGAGGAAAAGCCACACAAACATGCACAGCCGCCGCCGTTACTGTCCGGAACCATGCACGACCCCGCATGACCATTCCTCCCCCCCCTCCCCCTCCCTTCCCCTCTCCTCCCTTCCCCTCTCCTCCCTTTCCCTTCTCCTCTCCTCATCCCGTGTGCGTTGTTTTCTCATTTTTTTTCCTTCTTTTTTTTTCCTCATTTTCTCTCTTTTCATTCGGGTTCGGTTTCTCTGTTTTGTTTTGTTTTTTCGTTTTTTTGTTTTGTTTTGTTTTGTTTCTTTCTTTGTCTGTCTGTCTCTCCTCTCCTCTCCTTCTTTCTCTTTCTCACTCTTATTCTCTTCCTCTCTTTCCCTAAGAGACAGGCAGTGTGTGTGTGTGTGTGTGTGTGTGTGAGAGAGAGAGAGAGAGAGAGAGAGAGAGAGAGAGAGAGAGAGAGAGAGAGAGAGAGAGAGAGAGAGAGAGACAGAGAGAGAGAGAGAGAGAGAGAGAGAGAGACAGACAGAGAGAGAGACAGAGACAGAGAGAAGAGAGAGAGAGAGAGAGCAAGATGGCGCGACATTCACCCACTCAGCCAAATGTCTCAATAGAGCCAGACTTGTCCACACTCTCTTTACTCCTTCCCACACCCTCCTCCCCTCCTCTTCCCCTCCCCTCTTCCCCTTTCTCCTCCTCCCCTCCCCTCCCCTTCCTCCTTTCTCCTCTTTCCCCTCCCCTCTTCTCCTTTCTCCTTCTCCCCGTTTTCCCCTTTCTCCTCCTCCCCTCTTCTCCTTTCTCCTCCTCCCTCCCCCTCCTCTCCTTCTCCTCTTCCCCTCCTTCCTCCCTTCCCCCTACTCTCCTTCTCCTCCTCCCCTCCCCTCCCCTTCCCTCCTTCTCCTTTCTCCTCCTCCCTCCCTCCCTCTCCTCCCCTCCCTCCCCTCCCCCTCCCCTCCCCTCCTCTCACATTGCTGTCAAGATCATGCGCTTAAATTGGGGTCATGCATTACCATGTACACCACGCTACAAGCAGGCATGACCATCTCAGAAAG